TTTGTCTTCATTTATTCTCTCTGTTCTTCAGAATGGATCATTTCTACCAATCTGTCTTGGGGTTCACTGATGCTTTCTTCTGCCATTTCCAATTTGTTCTTAAGATACTGCAGTGAATTTACTTCAGATATTTTATTTTCAGCTCTAGAAAATCATCTGGCTTTACAGTTTCTTTTTCTCCACTGAGGTTTCTTACCCATTTGTTCAAAATGAATACATATTGCATTATACTCTTTTTTATGTGGTTTTAAGGATTCCTTTAAAACCTTTTTGCTAATTTCAACATCTGCATCATCTCAGGATCAGTTTCCATCAATTACTTTTTCTCTTCACCAAGGGTCACATTTTCTTGTTTATTCAGTAATTTTCGTTTGTATTTGGGACATCGTAATAGGTAAGCTGTAGACTATGGGATCTTTTACGATTCTTCTGAGAGTACTGCTTTTTGCTTAGTTTTAGAAGGGAGTTAACCTGACTAACCTTAAACTCAAATTCTGACCCCCTGTGATGAGCCACAGCTGAAAGAGATTCAGTTCTTTTAGCCTTACTAGGCTTCTGTGAGTCTGCCCCAGGCATGTGCAATTCAATAGTCAGTCAGAGATTTGAGCAGAATTTACGTGCAGAATTTGATGCTCCCTCTCTATCCTATGATTTCTTCCCGCATTTTCCAACTGCTTGGCTTCCCTGGTTGCTCAGATGGTAAAGAATCTTCCTCTAATGCAGGAGACCTGAGTTTGATCCCTGGGTGGGGAAGATTCTCTGAAGAAGGGAATGGCAACCCACTCCAGGATTCTTGTCTGGGAAATAGCATGGAAAAAGAAGTCTGGCGGGTTACAGTCCATGGGGTCGCAATGATTTCTTTCGCCATTTTTCAACTGCTTCAGTTCAGTTCAGTTCAGTCGCTCTGTCATGTCCGACTCTTTGCGACCCCATGAATCACAGCACGCCAGGCCTCCCTGTCCATCACAAACTCCTGGAGTTTACTCAAACTCATGCCCATTGAGTCGGTGATGCCATCCCGCCATCTCATCCTCTGTCGTCCCCTTCTCCTCCTGCCCCCAATCCCTCACAGCATCAGGGTCTTTTCCAATGAGTCAACTCTTCGCATGAGGTGGCCAAAGTATTGGAGCTTCAGCTTCAGCATCAGTCCTTCGAATGAACACCCAGGGCTGATCTCCTTTAGGATGGACTGGTTGGATCTCCTTGCAGTCCAAGGGACTCTCAAGAGTCTTCTCCAACACCTTATGTAGCTCCAAATCAGAGGCAGGTAAAACTTCTGATTTCTATCCAGTTATCAATTCCAAACTATGTATGGGGCCCGACACTGGGCCAAACTCCAGGCAAATAAAAAAGGTGCTATTCTCTCCTCTCTAGGGGCTGACTCCTTTCCAGTTTCTGCCTGCTTCTGAACAATTTCTAGTACCTTCAGAGAGTAATTTTGTATATTTTGTCCATAATTTATAATAGTTATCATCAGGATTGTTCCAATGTAGGCTACTCAGACATATTACCTTAATTTATTTGCATGCCTAAGTTTCTCACTAGATTTCAAAAATCTCAGTGGACAGAGCCTTTCAGACCTGGATACCCAGTGCCTCCCTCATTTCCTTTGACTTTCAAAATGTTCCTCATTTTTATCTACTGGTTTTCTTAGGGCATCAGCTGTTATATTTTTTGCTCTTGTAATCTTTGAAGTTTAGCCTTCATTTCTGAAATTTTTTTTTTCTTTTACTTATAATTCTTTCCTGAGTACTGTTCACTGTATCCCCAAATTTGTATAGTTCAGATTTATGCTGTTCTTTCATGTTTTGTATCACTTTATATTTTTGAAAAAGGTTTCAGTTTCTATCTGTATTAGGCACATGTATTTCTGACATGCTCCTATTATCAGTAGATATGCTATTCTGTTACTTCATCTCTTTTTTAATTCAAACAACAATGCAATGTGACTAAATCCTCTTCTGCTGTATATTTTATGTGAAATTCATTTTCCTGACTTGTAGGACATCATTCTGGATTATTTTCTGCTTCACAGAGCTCCTCCTCCTGCTGTTTTTGTAAACTGTTTAAAAATATAGTAGGTTAATTTTGAAATTTCCTGGCCCTTTTCCCTTAATACTACTTACACCTAAGACTTCTCTTTTTCTACTGTTTGTATCCTGATCAATTTTTCATTAGTGTCTGTAAGGGAGAGCTGGCTGGTCAGTTTCAAGAATTCACAGGAGCTATGGTGCTCCAGCCCCATTCAACTCTTACTATGAAGCATTTTCTGCTATTAGGTCATACAGTTTCAGTTATAGTTTTCAAAATGGCTTGCTGTATATTCTAGTGAATGAAGTAAAGTGAAGTGAAAGTCGCTTATGTGTCCGACTCTTTGCAATCCCTTGGACTATACAATCCATGGAATTCTCCAGGCCAGAAGTGAATACCTGATGGCTATTTTGTAGTTCTTCTGTCTCGTAGGTCCATTAGGGCTCCTGTTTTCTCCGGGCACAGACACTGATATCATGAGGCTTTTGTGGCAGCTGCTGACTACTCTCCAGCAATTATTTGCAGAGATAAATTATCTAATTTTGTTTTAAATATTGTCTTTGGATTTTCTGTTTTGCCATTTAGTTCTCTATGTGGCTTCTAGCTCCCTATGGGTTTCCCTGATGGTTCAGATGGTAAAGTGTCTACCTGCAAGGCGAGAGACCTGGGTTTGATCCCTGGATTGGGAAGATCCCCTGGAGAAGGAAATGGCAACCCACTTCAGTACTCTTGCCTGGAAATTTCCATGGACGGAGGAGCCTGGTAGGCTACAGTCCATGGGATCGCAAAGAGTCAGATACGACTGAGCAACATCACTCACTCACTCTCTATAGGTGGCAGTTCAAGAAGATCCAAAACCTATGCTGCCTCTGCACTATTTTCCTTCAATTAGCAGTTTAACAAAAGATCTTGAAAGAATGTCAGACTGGTGTCCAAGTATTTCAAGAGGACAAATCACAAGGTAGCTTTTATATCATGTTGGATAAGGGTTAGTAATTCTACATGTTAAAATAAAGATTAAATTAAATCTGTACTTATTATTTTTTTTAATAATAATGTTGAATTTCTGCAAAAGTTTGTTTACTAAGAAGGGCAAAGAGCTTTCCTGTTACATTAAAAGGTTTTGTTTTAGAGACTCACAAACTTAGAGAACAAACTTCTGATTACCAGGGGCAAAACATGTGACTGGGGTAGGGGGAGGGATAGATGGGGAGATTGGGATTGACCTGTACCCACTGCTGTATTTAAAATAAATAACCAACAAAGACCTACTGTACAGCACAGGAAACTCTGCTCAATATTCTGTTATAACCTAGATGGGAAAAGAATTTGAAAAAGAACAGATACATACATATATATAACTGAATCACTTTGCTGCACACCTGAAATCAACACAACATTGCTAATCAACTATACCCCAATATAAAATAAAAATTAAAACAAAAAATCCTGTTTAAAAAAGGTTTGCTTTCATTTCCCCAAAATTGTTGACTTGTAACTTTAACTCCATGAATCTTTAATACAGGAAACTACTTATGCTAAAACATTCATGGTGGGAAACTATTCACTTTGAGTTGTGAACCTGGCATAGGAAGTTTATTTTTACCCATAAATTTTGTCATATGCTATTACTTTACTACTCTATTTTACACTTTATTCTGTAATTCCATTATTAAGTGACTTGATTTGTTAATCCAAAAGATATCAAGACTGTTTAAGCTTAAGCTTTCTCTCATGGGCCTATTTGAAATAAACTTTGAGGCTTTAAAGGAGTCATTGCTTTAATTCATAATATGAAATTAAATTTTCTGCATTACTATCTGAGGGGTGATATATATCTTTTCTAAAAAAGTTTTCTTCTTTTTCTTCTACTAAAACTAAAAGTTTAACATTTACCAAACAATTACTATGTGGCAGGCACCGTTCTAATTATTTTAAGCCATTTAAACTTCACAAAACTTTATCAAGTAGATATAACATTATACACATCATCTGTAAAATAGCACATAGAGTTGATCTATCAATCATTATGCTATATAGTATCTCAAACTTGTTTATATGTACGAATATATGATAATGTTCATGGTATAGTAGTTAAGAGTTAGGATACTGAAGTCTGAAGGTAGGCTGCCAGGATTTCAAATCCTGGCTCCTCTCATTACAGGCTACATGTTTGGTAGGCAAGTTACTTTTCTATGCCCCAGTCTGTTGTGAAAACAAATGGACTACTATAAGAAAGGCATTCTGAATAGGGCCCACCACACCTACCCCTTTTTTAAAATTAGGCATATGGCAGTATCTGAAATATCATTCTGCAATGTGATTTTTTTTCACCTAACATGATGGGTTCCAAAAATGATCCATGTTGCATGGGTGAGCTAAATCTTGGTTGTTTATTTTTTCTACTACATATCACTCCACTGTATAAGTATCAATCTCAATTTATTTATCCATTCTCCTATTGATAGACAGTTAATTTATTCCCAGTTTTTAACCATGCTGTAAAGTACGTGTCATATGTATGTCTTCATGTGCACATGTTTAAGTTTCTCTAAAATACATCTATAGAGGTGGAACTCCAGAATTATCAGGGGTACATTCTGTCAAGTAAAGCCATATTGCCAAAAGCTCATCAAAGAGATTTTGTCCCACAAGCAGCATATGAGGTATTCTGTTTCTCCATATTCCCACTGACACTTGGTATTATCAAACAAGAGAAACAAATTAACTTTCATTCTAATTATATAACAATAGTGGCAAAAATATTTTTTCCATGCATAATCAAGTATTTATTAAAAATCATATTAACTCTTTGAGTAAAAAAGCAGCTACCAAAATGCAAAACAAAATGTTTAAGTTCTAGAGCACAGATTTGGAGGATCCAAGGAGTAGCAACAAAATTTCCATCAAGCATGAGAAACATATGCAAGCCATAAAAAACCATGGTTGATGCAAGAGAGCTCACTCACCTCAAACTCTCTTAGCAGTTTAGAAATAAGCAAACCCTCTGGAAACTTGGATACAACCTAATAAATAAAAAGTGAAATACAATATAAATAGATACAATGGGAATGCTGGGTGACAAAATATCAAAATAAGAAAGTATAAATTTACATAGCAACAAAGACAAAAATAACATTATTATTAAGTGAATGAATTAAAAGTCAGAGTAATTTTTAAAACTTAGCTTCTAGTTTTAAAAAAAGTTGTAACAACCAAAAATGGCAGTGAATTCCAACATTTCCAGAGTTGAGAAATCACTCCTGCATAAAACAGCAGTGCCACAACTCCTCAGAAATTCCTGAGTTCTTTAGCTCAGCTAAGATATTTAGCTTTAACTCACGTAAAATAAATATTCTATGGCGTAATTTCAAGCATTTTAAAGGGCAGAGAAGAAATATAATGCACACTATAAAAAACACTGGAAAACACAGTTAGGCAAAGATACTGGCCACTGTTGGCCATATGCACATAAAAATATCTTTAGTATGAAAATAAGTTCATTGCATCTCTAGATTTTTAATATCATCATGTAGACCTCTTTCCATACCAGTAAATATGGATCAACATGTTTACTAGTGAAACTGAACGGGAAACTATGGGGCTCTTGGGCACATAAGTCTTTCTATGTCCCCCATTTCTTGTAGGGAACAGATACCAGCCTCCATGACCTTCCCCAAGTTCCAAAGAACAAATCTGAACAGTTGTCAATCCAGGAAGGGACAAGGTAGATGAAGAGTCAAGGGAGGAGCAATCAAGAAACAATAGTGCTGCCTTGAAACAGGGTCCTGGTTCCTTCTCAAGGATATACGTAACAGAGGAGGAGCCAAGACGGCGGAGGAACGGGACGGGGAGACCACTTTCTCCCCTACAAATGCATCGAAAGAACATGTGAACGCTCAGCAAATTTCACAAGACAACTTCTGATCGCTAGCAGAGGATATCAGGCGCCCAGAAAAGCAGCCCATTGTCTTCGAAGGGAGGTAGGACAAAAGATAAAAGATAAAAAGGGAGACAGAAGAGCTGCGGACGGAGACCCGTCCCGGGAAGGGAGTCTTAATAGAGGAAGTTTCCAATCACCGGGAAACCCTCGCACTGGCGGGACTGGGGGAAGTTTTCAGCAATCTAACTGGGAGGAAAAATTAAACAAGGCCCACAGATTACGTGCCTAAAAGCAACTCCCAGCAGAAAAGTACCCCAGACGCCTGTACCCGCCAGCAACAAGCAGGGGCGGAACGGAGAGGAGCGGGCGGCATTGCTTACGGTAAGGACTGGCCCGAAGACCCTGAGAGCAATCGGAGGGAGCTTTTTTAAACTGTGGGATAGCAAGGGTCAAAATTAACCTGCCCGAACACACTGACGGTGGTTCGCAAAACAAAGGGACTGAGAAAGTCCAGAGAAGAGCTGGCCCATCCCCGCTGGAGGTAGGAGGCAGGGGGGAGGGGAAAAGGGCAAACTCAGCCCCCGAGAAGCCACCCCCTCCCACACTGCAAACAGGCCCCCGGTTCCTATCTAAAGACTTCCTGAGACCCGACTGGCGGCGCGCGCTGGGGCCGCGGAGGGAAAAGGCGCGCCACCTCCGGGGAGAGTGCGCCCAACCCTCTGGCTGCCTGAGCCGCTCAGGCCGGGGAAGGCACAAAACGCAGGCGCAACCGAATCTGCGCTTTTGTGGAGTACCTGAAAACTGGAACCGCACTCAGCGCGGGGCCCGCTCCATATAGAGCAGCTGGGAGCCTGAGCAGTGTAGACGGGGAAAGCACTGACACCCGTGAGCGGGGCAAACCCAGTGTGGCCGGAACACGGTGAGTGCTATCCACACAGAGCGGTATCTGTCTGCAGCGCCCCGCCCTCCCCGTAGCAGGACTGAACTGAACTAGCGAACCTAAATACGAGATCACCTCCGCCCGCCTGTGTCAGGGCGGAAATTAGACACCGAAGAGACGGCAAACAGAAGCCAAATAAACAAAGGGAACCGCTTCAGAAAGGACTGGTGCAACAGATTAAAATCCCTGAAGGTGACACCGACTACACCAGAAGGGGCCTACAGATATCGAGAAGTATAAGCTGGAAAGAGGAGCTATCTGAAATTGAACTGAACCTACGCTGACCGCAACAACTCCAGAGAAATTCCTAGATATATATGTATATATATATTTTTAATTAAAAAAAATTTTTTTTCTTTCCTTTTTTTTAAATTTTTTCTCTTTTATTTTCTTTTAAAATTCCCTATTACTCCCCCATTACTCCTCAACTTTCATTTTCATATATTTTTACGATTTTTTTAATAAGGGAAAAAAAATTTTTTTTCTTTTTTTTTCTTTTTCTTGTTTTTCTCTCCTATTTCCTTTTAAAGTCCTCTAATACTCCTCTATTATTCCTTAATTTTCATTTTCATTTCACTATAACCTTGCCAAAAAAAAAAAAGAGAGAGAGAAACCCTATTTTTAAACCGAACTTCATATACATTTCTAAATTTTTTTGTGTGTTTTTGTTTTTAAATATTGTATTTCAAAGAGTCTAACCTCTACACTAGATTTTTAATCTTTGTTTTTCAGTAGTATGTGATATAAATTTTGGTCATTTAAGAATCCAGTATTCAGTTCCCATTTCTATTCAGGAGTGTGGTGATTACTCTCCCACTTTTGACTCTCTGTTTTCTACCTTGGAACACCTCTATTTCCTCCTTTCCCCTTCTCTTCCCAATCCAACTCTGTGAATCTTTGTGGGTGTCTGGGCTACGGAGAACACTTTGGGAACAGATAACTGCGTAGATCTGTCTCTCTCCTCTTCAGTCCCCTTTTTCTCCTCCTGCTCACCTCTATCTCCTTCCTCCCTCTCCTATTCTTCATGTAACTCTGTGAACCTCTCTGGTTGTCTCTCATGGTGGAGAATCTTTTCACCATTAACCTAGAAGTTTTATTATCAGTGCTGTATAGTTGGAGAAGTCTTGAGACTATTGGAAGAATAAAACTGAAATCCAGAGGCAGGAGACTTAAGCCCAAATCTTGAGAAAACCAGAAAACTCCTGACTACACGGAACATTAAGGAATAAGAGACCATCCAAAAGCTTCCATACCTACACCAAAACCAACCACCACCCAAGAGCCAATAAGCTCCAGTACAAGACATACTATGCAAATTCTTTAGCAACGCAGGAACATAGACGTGAGTGTCAACATACAGACTCTCCAAAGTCACACCTAACACATAGACCCATCACAAAACTCATTACTGGACACTCCATTGCACTCCAGAGAGAAGAAATCCAATTCCACGCACCAGAACGCTGACACAAGCTTCCCTAACCAGGAAACCTTGACAAACCAATCGTCCAACCCCACCCACTGGGTGAAACCTCCACAATAAAAAGGAACCTCAGACCACAAGAATACAGAAAACCCACTCCAGACACAGCAATCTAAACAAGATGAAAAGGCAGAGAAATACCCAACAGCTAAAGGAACATGAAAAAAGCCCACCAAGTCAAACAAAAGAGGAGGAAATAGGGAATCTACCTGAAAAAGAATTTAGAATAATGATAATAAAAATGATCCAAAATCTTGAAAACAAAATGGAGTTACAAATAAATATCCTGGAGACAAAGATTGAGACGATGCAAGAAATGTTTAACAAGGACCTAGAAGAAATTTTAAAAAGTCAATTAAAAATTAATAATGAAATAAATGAGATCAAAAACACTCTGGAGGGAACCATGAGTAGAATAACAGAGACAGAAGATAGGATAAGTGAGTTAGAAGATAAAATGGTGGAAATAAATGAAGCAGAGAGGAAAAAAGAAAAAAGAATCAAAAGAAATGAGGACAACCTCAGGGACCTCTGGGACAATGTGAAACGCCCCAACATTCGAATCATAGGAGTCCCAGAAGAAGAAGACAAAAAGAAAGGCCATGAGAAGATACTCGAGGAGATAATAGCTGAAAACTTCCCTAAAATGGGGAAGGAAATAGCCACCCAAGTCCAAGAAACCCAGAGAGTCCCAAACAGGATAAACCCAAGGCGAAACACCCCAAGACACATATTAATCAAATTAACAAAGATCAAACACAAAGAACAAATATTAAAAGCAGCAAGGGAGAAACAACAAATAACACACAAAGGGATTCCCATAAGGATAACAGCTGATCTATCAATAGAAACCCTTCAGGCCAGAAGGGAATGGCAGGACATACTTAAGAGTAATGAAAGAGAATAACCTACAACCTAGATTACTCTACCCAGCAAGGATCTCATTCAGATATGAAGGAGAACTCAAAAGCTTTACAGACAAGCAAAAGCTGAGAGAATTCAGCACCACCAAACCAGCTCTTCAACAAATACTAAAGGATCTTCTCTAGACAGGAAACACAGAAAGGTGGTATAAACGTGAACCCCAAACAACAAAATAAATGGCAACGGGACCATACCTATCAATAATTACCTTAAATGTAAATGGGTTGAATGCCCCAACCAAAAGACAAAGGCTGGCTGAATGGATACAAAAGCAAGACCCCCATATATGCTGTCTACAAGAGACCCACCTCAAAGCAAGGGACACATACAGACTAAAAGTGAAGGGCTGAAGAAAATATTCCACGCAAACGGAGACCAAAAGAAAGCAGGAGTCGCAATACTCATATCAGATAAAATAGACTTTCAAATAAAGGCTGTGAAAAGAGACAAAGATGGACACTACATAATGATCAAAGGATCAATCCAAGAAGAAGATATAACAATTATAAATATATATGCACCCAACATAGGAGCACCACAATATGTAAGGCAAATGCTAACGAGTATGAAAGAGGAAATTAATAGTAACACAATAATAGTAGGAGACTTTTATACCCCACTCACAACTATGGATAGATCAACTAAACAGAAAATGAACAAGGAAGCACAAACTTTAAAGGACACAATGGACCAGCTAGACCTAATTGACATCTATAGGACGTTTCACCCCAAAACAATCAACTTCACCTTTTTCTCAAGTGCACACGGAACCTTCTCCAGAATAGATCACATCCTG